GCAGAATCAATATGAATGTACAAAGACGTGATGACGGCTGAGCTTAGGTTGCGCTTTTGCAGAAACTGCATCTGAAAGCCGTATATTTTTAAAGTTGGGAAGGAGGCGGGATCTCGGGAGGCAGGACACAACATAAAAAAGACGACCCAGATAAAGATAAAGTTATGCCTTTATATCAGTGCGATGGTTAGCTTGTCATGTTGACAGTATCCACTAAAGAGCAGAGAAGAACAAACTGGCAAGCAGAAAAAATAAGAAAGAAGTTTCAGCCCATGCACAGAGATTGCGCTGGTTGTGTGATACGAACGTCATCACCACTGCTCGCTCTCAGGGAATCTTCCTGAATTTTCCCTGTTTTGTTACACATCGGCTCACTCAGACTTTATTCTTCTTCTGGCACATTTGAAGCTTCATCCAAAGGCAACTGGACTTGGTCGAAGATCTTGAAGACGAACATCCTCCCTCTGAAAAGCCTTCAGGATCTTCAACCAAGTCTAGTTGCCTTTGAATGAAGCCATGAATTAACCACGACCAGACTTCTTCTGGCACAATAAACATCCTTACTAGACGACCGTATGTAGTGGTTGCACTCTTGTATAATGATGTGTAAGAAGAAAGCAATATGGGCAGAAGGTCACATTGTCTAAAAAATGTGACACTTCCCTTAATCTTAAAGGCCGATTGTTTCAACGCTACAAGGGAGGAACCGACTTCACTGCTCTGATGCTGCTAAAGGGAAGGGAAACAGAACACGATGACGCTTTTCTCTGTTGAGTCAACAGAAAGCTCAAAAATGCTAAACAGACTCCAAGTGACAGTGGATTTAATGAACTTTAACATGGCCTCAGAATATCATTTAGTTTCATGTCATGTCGACTTTCCCTGAAGGATGCTGTTGGATAAGTCAGCATTGCAGATGTTTTAAAAAAAACACTCTTTACAACACAGTTTTGTTGGAAATACTGGTTATCTTTTTTGGATTCTCAAAATCTGGCAGCATATCAGAGCAGTGCAACCGATTAATTGGTTTGAGAATAAGCTCTCTTTCTTTGCTACGCCATATGATGGTCAGACTGTTCTGGATTTGGAAGTGAGATCAGAACCAATAGGCCTTCCTCCTGCATAATGACTTTAGCTGTTCTTAAAAGCTTACAGCGTGTGCTGAAATCTGACACTGTGCAGAGGGCATCTGTTCTCCTGGAGGAGGAGGACTCACCGTCAAAAACTAATTAGACAACACAATGGCTGCTATTCAGAGCTGTTTAGAACGCTGCCCAAACACAGATAGAGAGAGATGAAGTTCATCTATCGGAGGTGAGCCGACGCTGGTTTATCCAGAGGTCATAGGAGGTCTTTCTCACAGGTTCACCACCAAAGGATTACACTAAAAACAGGAAACAGGGAACAGGAACAGAAACTGATGCACAAGAAGCTGGTTTTCAGGATCATCATACCAGAACTTTAAACCTTGTTATGATACTAGAAACCCGTCTCGCTCCTTTATTACTACCCCCAAAGATGGTACAGAGATAAATGGTGAATGAGCTTATGTCGTTCTTTTCTAGTCTTCTGACTACTCAAAGCTCTTTTACACTGCAGGTCACACCTACACATTCACACACTGATGGCAGAGGCTGCTGTGTAAAGTGACCATCAGAAGTAATTACGGTAATCCATTCATATAAAATCAAATGCCGTCAACGAGGAGCAACTTGGGGTTCAGTGTCTTGCCCAAGGACACATCGGACATGTGGCTGCAGGAGTTGAGGATCGAACCCCCAACCTTCCTGTTGAGAGTCGACTGACTCTACCAACTGAGCCACAGCCGTCCACTTTTTCCATTGGCCAATTATGTTTTATTAGTGTTATTTGAAACCTTCTGGCCTGTATGGAAGATTTAAGTCAGATGACCCACAATCCCCAGCTCCAGAGGCTGATGCCTCATCCATTAGGCCACTGGGACCTGAATACTACCAAAGCAATTTTTGCTGGGAAACAATGTGTGAAGAAAATGTGTGCAGAAAGCAGAACAAAGAATGTAAAACCTACTTCCACTTCTGTCTCTTTAATTGCTTTCACAGTTGTAGAAAACAGCTTGAATTTCACCTACACCTGACACAAAGCTCAGCAGGTGAGGCTCGAGCTGAAGTAGTGCAAACCCTGAGTGACTCAGGAACACAGGAATGGACTTTTCTGCAACATGTGAGCACCATATGTATAGAAATACAATCCAATGGACTGGAAATAGAAGAGATATCCAGAAGACTACATTTGGATGTGGGTCAGACCGATGTTGCCGGCACAATGCACAAAAAAGGAAAACTAAAGAACAGATAAGAACCATCCCACTGGGAACGCTGGTGTTTGAAAGAGCCGCTGACGTGTGAGCAAGCTACACAGGAATGTTTGTGCATTCCAGATGAAGGGTACGCTCACCAGGAGGGAGGAGACAAAAAAAGAAAAATGCACCTCCCCTCTACCTGCCCACTCCAGCCTGAAGAACCTGATTTATGGAAAATACTATGATTAAGAGTCCCTCAGTAAGAACAAAACTGGTTTGAAATCTGACGCTTTTACTGTTTCATTCAAGAGCAAAGACAACAAGAAGGCAAGTTGACAGACAGCTGGAACTCAAGCGAGAGGTTCTCAGGCAGCAGTAAAGTCGCAACATTTGTTTTTGCGGCAATCTTATACTATCTGATATGTTGAAGCCTCCTCCTGAGGTTTTTAAATTGACTGATCAATTAGAGCTTTCAAACTTTACAAATGTCCTGAAAACTTCTACATTAACCTACGTGCACATAATGAAACTGCCGCATTATGTTTTCTGTCCAATCAGATCTTCTTCACTATTCTGATAAATGTTAAATGGACTTCAGCTTTTATGGTTGCTCTGAAAGGGCCACACTTGACTTAGTGTAGTCCTCGAATCTTATTCAAATGTGAGAAGAGAAACCCCTCAAAAAGAAGTTCTGTATCTGAGATGTGGAAGCACCCTGCACTGAAAACCAAGACAAGTCACAAAGTGCATTAACACTAGAAGTGCCTCCACTTTATTATCAGCTGTATTCTTTTTTTGCCTCTGGCTACAAATCCTTGGAGAGTTGGCAGGAAGCCAGATGATCAGCTGACAATCACAGCATCAAGAGCAGCAGCGTGCAAGAACACAAAAACACTCAAACGTATACACACACTTATACTTTGGTCTAAGTGACATATCAGAGAATGAAACTGAGATGATGACTTTTGATGCAGTGTAATATAGAAAAGGAATAACAAAACGCATCTTAATCTTATCTCTAATTCTTGTTTTTGCAACACATACACACATTAACCTGAAGCTTAAAGCAATCAATGACAAAAACTTAAAGGAGGATGTTGTTTTTTGAGAGGGCTCTCTGACAACATTTGCGTTGTATAACTTGTTTGTGCATTTCCTTCAAATATAGGACTCTGTTTCTTCATCTGTGTCATTTATTATTTTTTTTTTTTTACCTCAGGAGACCCCCCCCGCCCCTCCTGTCTCACAGGGAAAGTCTCCAGCTGTGAGGTGCATGTGTGAACAACCAGATCAGGAGAATATTCGGAGCAGTCCTCCTGAAGTTATCTCGATATTTCCAGGAGTGCAGATATGAAAAAGGCTTTATTTGTTATCAAAAGGCCTTCTTGTAATCTTTATGTTTTATCCGTTTTATTTAATAACTGTCTCTTCAAGTCAATCATTGTTTTCGTCGTTACAATTTTATGGTTTTATTGCTGTGTATTGTACTGTTGGGGTTGTTATGTTCAGCAAAGAACTTTATAAGGTTGGATGTGATAAGCGTTTAGAAACACAGTCGGAGCATTTACAATTTAGTTTGAGATTTTTCTGTCTGTTCAACACTGCAGCAATGAACGCCGTCCTACAAGCGTGTTCAACATCACTTCCTACTATCCGACGTTCCAGGAAGCTTGTTATCCTATCAGGAGAGCACCGTGCTATCTTTATTTTGTTTTCTGTATGCAATGATCCCTCACAATCTACAGACATCTCTTGTTTTCATCTGTTATCTTCTGAGCTGTGATCGCTCACCGCCTGCACGCCGTCTGTTCCCTCACTCGTTTAGGGCTTGTTTCACATTTGATCAAATTCATAAATTCAACCCAAACCACCAACAACAACAGCAGGGTTTAAATTATTACCACTCTCTGATGCATCATTAAACCTGGAAACCTGATCCCTTTGGTTTCAATGTAAGACCCCAGCGGGCAGAAATATGAGTCGGTAATATAACGGAGAGCTGCAGCAGATGGACAGAGTCTGGATCACGAGTCCCTCCGTGTTCAGTAATGCAAATATCACAAATAAAGCCACAACTTGGTCAGCACTATAAGAGTAAGGAAAGGATTGTGCAGTAATTAAAGCACCATGTTTGAAAAAAGAAACGCTGCAAAGCTTTTGTGTTCTCTAAGACGCACTGCAATAACGTCTAACCTTACAGAAACACTCTACACTACACAACAAAGAAACCTGTAAACAAAGAAACTAAACAATCCACATGCACAGGACGACTCGTGAAGAAATGGCTGAGATCAAACCACATGTGCCTGGTTTACCTTTGTGCACACGTCACAGCACCGTGCAGTCAGTCAGCCGAACAAGAACGGACTCTAGTGTCACTTCTCTCTACTGTGAGAGAAGGTCGTGGACTACAGTCACAATCGGTTTCCCCATGCGAACAGTTTATTTTGAAGGTGGACAAACTGAAGTTTGGTGCTTTGTATTGACAAGCTTTACTACTGAAAAGAGTAACTAATTTACTGACAGAGTAAAACTCTACGTTCATGACATAAAACAAAAGTAAAGACGCTAAAAAATGACTCTCCACTTGAAGAAGGGAGAAGGAACAGTGGTTTTAGTTTTGTAGGAAGGTTACGTGGAGGAAGCAGCTTCAGGGGACAAATCTCTTGGAATAATATATCATAAAATTGAACTCTGTGACTGTGGCCCTCACACTCACCTGGGGCAAAGCGGTGTTCAGTTGTCTCTGCAGCGAGTCCCTTTCATGGCTGACTTCGTGCAGTTTGCCCTGAGTCAGGCCCAGGTTCTCCTGAGTCTCCCTCAGAGTGTCTAGAAGACGATCCCTCTCCTCCAGCATGGACACCATCAGCGACTCAAAGTGACCCTCTGAGTCCGACTGCAGGGGAGAGCCTGAGCCCCGACGTCCACCGCCACCTCCCCCTTCAGCCTCGCTGATGGTGGGCATCACCTCGCACATCATCTATAGCCCGGGTTTGGACGGAGCAGAGCGGGGTCCAAGGACAGAGCAGGAGAAGAAAGAGTTTAGGTTATTATTCAAAAACATTTCTGTCATTTTTTTCTGCTGTGACATGCTGTGAAAAACTTCTTCTGCAGAGGACCACAAAACTTACACAAAACCCTCTAAAAGACAGTTTAGCCAGTAACTCCCTCACTCTAATATAAACAAACAAACATAAGAAAATGTAAACTCTTCACAGTGAGGTCAGAGAATCATCCAACAAACTTCTTTATTCTTTTGCCGTAACATTCTCCACATATAATTTTCAGAGATGTAAACAAACTTTGAACTTGTTGTAGTTTGCTACCAAATTTAAACATCCACTGCAGCTGGATCAACTTTTAAAAACCAGAGAACAGTTTTCTATGATACTAAAAAAACAAAAAACTTCTGTCTGGAGGTGAAATGGATCACAGTTTATCCGTTATCTGCTCAGATCGTTCCCCAGGATCTGAGTAGCAAAATGAAATAAATGTACAACCGCTAAATCACTGTGCAGAGTCTCAGTGAAAAGAATACAGCATTAAAGTTGTCATGTAGTTGCCATGGAGATCCACTTTACAAGCAGAAAGAAAGTTCAGTCTTTTAAAATGTATTTTTTTGTGGACTTTCACACAGAAATGGGTCGTAGGAGAGCATTGATATTTCATTGTTTATGATAACTTTGTATCAGACGCTACTTCAGCTTTCTCTCTTCCATGTCAGTGTGTCAGTTTATCGTGCAGGTATCAGCTGGTGGTTACAGGTAACAACAATCACAAACGCAACGATAGTTATATAACAGACAGAAGCGCAGTGTTCGTTCCAAAACCTGAAGATTTACATCCTAAACGCACACTGCGCCAGTGTGTTTTGTCTGACTGGCACTGCACGCGCTGCAGCATCAGCCTGTGAAAACAACACACACACACCCGCTACATGAACAGTGTGTGTGTGTTACCTGTTCAACCTTGTCAAAGCTCATATGAGGAAAAAGGAGTTTACTGGGACTCCGCTGCATCGCCCGCTACTTCAGTGTTGGTCACATCTTACCTCAGGAGACCCCCCCGCCCCCCCCTCCCATCTGACAGGGACAGTCTCCTGCTGTGAGGAGCATATGTGAACATCCAGGTCAGAGGGATTTCAGGAGCAGCCCTCCTGATATATTCTAGATATTTTGAGGAGTGCAGATGTGAAAACGGCTTAAGACACACAGCAGTCAAATTCTGGTACCCAAAATGAGTTGAGATCAAACAGGTGAGAGCAGGTGGGCTAATGAGCACACCTTAAAGGCTGAATCTATCTCTGGATGTGCAGAATCAGGAATTCCCCAGCAAGCTGGAAACTACGTCCGTTTCTGGTAAAGCTTTGTAAACAAGGAGGAGCTTTGCCAGGACACGAGTGTGGCCTTCGTTCAGGTGACAAAATGTGATTACATCATAAAATCAGAAGTAAGGAAAATTTAAATGGAATAAAAATGGAATTTGGGGAATAAAATAAAACTGATAGGGCCCTGAACAGCTTATTACAGAGGCTGATAAGCTGAACCTGTTTGCCTATTGTTACTAATGGTGAAGTACTGCTGTTATAGACTTCCCCAGAGTTAGCTAAAGTTCTCCCACATTGTTTCCATTTCTAAAAGTCCAAAGAGCCTTTAATCAATCACAGGCAGCTAAACTAACCGAGTCTGAAGCTCTGTATGTGACATCAGATCAAGGAACAGCTGGGCAGGAGGTCTGGGGAATTAGAACCGCCCTCCACACCAAGGAGCTTAGGTGCTGTAGACAGACTGTTCGACAAAAAGCCAAGAATCATGTGAGCTGGATTTCACATACCCACAAGGGACAACAGTTTACAAGTGGAGGAGGAACTCAGCGGGGGCCGAGTTCGAGGCTACTCCTTCATCTCGCAGTCTTTGCATCCCCCGAGATGCCAAAAGCTCTGTGTGCGCTTCAGTGCACCAACGCTCGACTGTATCTTCCACTAACGGCGTTATAAAACTGGACATCATAAAACTGGACGTCGTTACCTGTTCTTACATGCAAACTAAAAAGAAAGAAAAACAACCTGCAACCATTCACAAACTCAAATTTCATGTTTTAGATGACGACTAAAATTTCTGATGGAAGGAACAAAACTTAACCTAATTTATTTAAAGCAAAACACAAAACCAACGCTCTATATCGAGGTCAAGCCACTCAGGCTCAACAATGTTTATGAGGGGGAGGGTCACTCAGCATCCATGAGAGGGAGTGACAGATGGTGGGTCTAGTGTAAGCACAGAAATCCCAAATGTCAAAAAGTAAAGATTGACAAACCACAGCCTGACAGCAGGACACGTATAACGACTTCAACTTTAGGAGGATTTGTTAACACGGGGCATAGATGATACAGGAGGAACAGAAAAGCTAATCAGGCATGAAGGAAGACTTAAAGGAGCGGTGCAAGACATCGACAGAACTCAATTATAAACGACCTTACTTATAAAAAGGTTTAAATGTCAGGAATAGAGCTAAAACACAATTTTAGAGAATGGAGTCTAAAAGTGGAGGAAAAAAAATGAAATTTCGAGAATGAAGTAGAGATACAATTTTGAGAATAAATCAAAATGTTAAGGATAAAGCCTAAATGTTGTTGGGGAAAAAAGCCTAAATTTCAGGAATTTAGTCCAAATTTAACTTTTCAAGAAAAAAGTCAAAATGTCAAAAATGAAGTAGAAATATCGAGAATAAACACAAAATGTTGTGGAAAAAAGTCAGGAATACTGCTGAAATGTGCAGAATAAACTTGAAAACTATTTTGAGAATAAAAACAAAATATTAAGAAAAATTTTCAGAAAACTCAGGAATATAGTTGAAATAAGATTAATTTGAAATGTCCGGAAAAAAAGTCGAGAATAATGTGGAAAAAAAAAAAAAGGTTTTTGAATAAAAACTACATTTTGGGAAAAGGCCAAATAAGAATAAATTTAAAATATAATTTCTAGAACTGAATCAATATATAGAGATATGAAGTTAAACATTAAATTAAGAGACTTAATTTAAGATGTAGAGAATGAAATTGAAATGTTTAGAATAAAGTTAAAATACAAATATGTAGAAGTAAAAACAACATTTTGAGTTCAAATTTTGTGAGGGGAAAAAAGTTAAAAATTCAGGAATAAAGTTTTAATACAATTTCGAAGAATGTCGAGTTTATTCTCATAATCTTATTTCACTTTTATTCTTGATATTGCTACGTACTTCCTCATAGTGCATAATGTAAACAACTCTTCCTCCTCTCGTTATAGATTTCTCATAACTGGCCCTAATCCTCCTCTTAGTTCAGACTGATGAAGGAGAGGTAACAGTGTTTACAGGACTCAGTGGGTGACCATAAAATGTGGATAAAACGTTATTATGTTAGTCACTAGTAAGTAAAAACTACAACTTTAACAACAAGTGTGTTAGATATCTCACCTTGGCTAAATGGAGTTATTCCGGATGCCTCTGAAATCCACGTTATTTTATGGAGTCAAGTAAACAAAGTCCAGGTGCTCCAAATAAAGTCCCCAGCACCAAGAAATATCCCGAGTCAATTCACATCAGAACATGTAGATTCCATTCAAAGGCTGTGGATGCATTAAGGCTGCGACAAGAGGAAAAGATTGGATCCTAAAGGCCTCGAAGAGAAACCCTCAGAAAGTGAGCAGAGGGGGGCAGTAATCCAACTTTGGCCGGCTAACCAACCTTTAGCACGCTGACATCGTTAGCTGGCGACTCGATGACTGCATACGTGGATTAAAGAAGTCCAGAGTCTATCTCTGCTAAGAAAAACCAAGAGATAGAGTCAAATACTCTAAAAAAAAAAATCTACATCTCACAACAGGTCGATATGTTATGACACAGTTAGCTGACGTGGAAACAGCTGTAGCATCGCTAGCTTGAGCTAACTTGAAGCGGAGTTCTTTGGCTTGCAGTCCGTTTAAACAGACGGTGGTTAGCTACTAGCCGGCTAGGTAGCTAACGCCTTTGCTAGTTTCAGATGATAAAGATAATGCTCTAATCCCGTATAAAAGTTGACCACCTGATATGGATTAGTATAAATGTGTATCAAACATCGCTGAGAGTGTTACAACAAGTTTTTAAAAACATCCTTGATTCAAACATATTATGAAAATGATTTATCTGTGTGGTTAGCAGCAAGCGGCTAACGTTAGCTTCCCCGTCGCGTCACCACATCACGGCTCGGGGAGAAAAAAAAAAAAAAAAAGTTCCAGCTAACATTGAGCGTTAGCGACGTTTCAGGTCCCGTTTGGGTAATCCAAACTGTAAAAAAACAAAAAAACTTGTATTCCCTTCGTTTTCCGTCCGTGTTCGTGGAGTTGTCCCGGTGTTTCCACCGTCAGTCCGGTCCTGCCCTGTCGCCACTGCCTGCCAGCCTCGGCAGTCGGGACAGCCAATGGTGGGCTCTCTGTCGTTAGCACTTCTCATTAGCCTTCTCTGCTGAATGCTCAGGAGGAGAGCTGCTCAGGCTGGCGACAGGAGGGAGAGGAGGGGGAGGCTGACTCGATTCGGGGGATCGGATCTTTTAGCTCAGCCCAGTTTTTTTTTTTTTAAAGGAGCAATATGTAACCCTGACACCTAGCGTTTAAAACGGGTACTGCAGTCCAGATTCAGAACTTCAGTTCAATTCAATTCAAAAAACTTTATTTGTCCCCGGGGGGGCAATTCAAAGGCACACAGAGCAGTAAATTAACAACAGTGCAAGTTAACGAAACATTTTAACCTAAATATAAAGTGTCAATTTAAATACAACTTAAAGCTTAAACTTAACTTAAAAATACAAAATATAGAAGAGTAGATATGAGTGGACAGTGATCAGACTAACAGATGTAAACAGATGTGACCATAACTATGTGCAGTAGTGACCAGATGTAAACAGAACTATGTGCAGTAAACGAGAAATAAATATATATATAAAGAGCTATGTGCAAGTAGGCAAATACTAAATGATAAGTTAATAAGGTGCATGGTGAAAAATGGAACAACAGAACTAATATATACAATATAACTGTAAAGGTAAAAAATGAGATAAATAAAGTGACCGTAGTGCAATGATGGATAAGAACAACAGGAATAAATTAACCAGAACTGTAGAAAAGTGATGTAGTGCATGAGGGGTGCAAACTTGTCACCTTTCGGCCAAATTCACCGTTTTGGATCCGAAATAGGTCATTTGTGTGATTCATTTAGATGTGCAATAAAAATATTTGGAGGGGGGGCATTTATTTAAGTTAAAACAGAACATAGATATCAACAAGCAATTGTGTTTTTCTTATTGTTTTGCACCGCTTCTTTAGTCGGTCTGAATGCTAAAATAGTTTGTAAATTCACTCTTCAATTCATTTTTAAAGCTGATATTTAAAAAAAATAATAATAATGATCTTCCCGGGGGAGCATGCCCCTGGACCCCCCCTAGGGGGTTTGGATCCATGTCACCTTTTTCATCCCTGATGAGTTTGCACCCCTGGAACATATTTATTTATTTACTTGACGTGGTGATGGACATACAGTAACATTGGCACTGTAACATTTAAAGAGCCCATATTATGTTATTATTTTGTTGTTTGTATATTTAATCTATGTTCCTACTTTTGTACGTTCATAATAGATAAAATCCAAAAAAGTGTCTGTTTTCATGAACTGCTCCTCCTTGCTCCCTCTCCGCTCTGAGTCCGTCAGCTACACTCTCTTGAGCCCACACTGTTAGACCCCACGTGGGCCAAGTCTGCTCTGATTGGTCGGCCGATCCGCTCTGTCGTTATTGGTCAGTTGCTCAGAACGCATCTCGGAAATTTCAACATGAGCTGCTGGGCTTGCCACAACGAGCCAATGGACTTAGATCAGTGATATCACACTGACAGTGACGTCGGACTGACACATTTTTATCAAGGGGGGCTAGAACCGAGCGTTACATGCAGCTAATGCTACAGCTAACAGGAGGACGTAGGAGAAGCCGCGTTTCCACAGACTTTGAATTTTTGCACACAGATGTGCCTAAACATGCACAGGACACTTGGAAAACACACTAAAGGGCATATAAAACCAGAAAAAGCAGAATATGGGACCTTCAACCATGCACAAGTCCCAGATGCACTGCTCTTTTGCAACAGGCTTTTAGAAATGACAGATAGAAATAAAGACAAATAAAAAGAAGAGGAAAATGAAAACAGTTCAGTTATAAATACAGTGCAGTTATGAATGCAACAGGAATAAAATACATTTACAAAGGGAATGCAGCAAAAATATACACCAGACATTTGTGATCTCATGTACATTTTCATTTCATTTTACCTTTATTTATTTTCGAGAAATCATTGAGGGCAAGCCCTCATTTACAATGACGTCGAGAGTACAATTAAAACGAATAAGAGACAAAAAACAACAAAGACAAAATACATAGATTATAAGACCATAAGAATAAGCAGTAAGCAGGTAACTACAGTTAATAACATTTACATTCATGAGTACAGTGAACTGTGATGAAGTGTGGTGAAGTTTTTAAATTTAGGTATGGGAACAATGTTGTTTCTCCTTCAGCGAACATTTAATACCTTTGTTAAAACATTAAAACTGTGTTGCATTTTCAGTTCAGTAGGTAAGCCATTCCAGAGATTAGCTCCTACAACAGAGCTCAGCCCAGTTTTATAGGAGCAATATGTAACCCTGACACCTAGCGTTTAGAATTGGTACTGCAGTCCAAATACAAAACATGATATCTGCCATAAGAAATAAAAAATAAAAACAAGGAAACAAAATCTCCAGTCAACTTAAATTAAACTACAGTAAGGTCTGAAAAAAAAACATTTGAAAAATCAACATCCCTTCCTGCTCACTGGTAGTGACTTTTGAAAGAAATACTCATAGAGAGATGTATTTTTACTTTTTATTGAATTTTATATACTTTATTGATTGCTGAGGGAAATTCTGGATTACACTCGGTTGAGAGACATGCCAGAAATACACACACATGCACAAACAGGACCTGTGGACATGAATTAATGGTGAGATGTCTACACCGCTTTTCCCATTTTTGGGTGGCAGGGGGACGTAGCTGGTCCCAGCTGTCATTGGACTGGTCGCCAGTCAATCACAGGGCTGACGTATAGAGACAGACCACCAGCCACACTCACACCTATGGGTAATTTAGAGTCAGCAGGTAACCTCACGTCTTTGGACTGTGATAGGAAGCCGGAGTACCCGGAGAGAACCCACACATGCACGAGGAGAACATGTAGACTCCACACAGAGAGGCTCCTGTCAGACGGGGATTCAAACCAGGAACCTCCTCGCTGTGAGGAGACAGTGCTGACCTCTGCAGCACCATGCAGCCAGGATAGAGGTGTAATATATACATTTCTCTGATCCTTCGCTTTTCAAGTTATGAACAGAAAAAAAACTTGGACAACCAACGGCGTCCTCATTCATGCACGGCCTTCTCCGACCTCCACCTCAGCGCCAATAAGTGTGGACAACAGGAATGGGAGGAATACAAAGGAGAAATCCTTCCTGCATATTATCCCATCTCCCCATATCCCATTTTTCTCTACAATGAGTAAAGTCTTTAACCTGCTCTTTTGTAAAGCGTCTTGAGATAACATTTGTTATGAATTGGCGCTATAGAAATAATGTGTTATCTATTAATCTGTTTGATGCACGATTCCCGATACTGGTTGCTCCCTTAAAGAGGGTCAAAACTCTTTTAATAGTTTAAGAAACCTTATTTTTACATTTATTTGTCAGCTCACTGTCTCACAAAATGAAATCATCCTGACCTTGAAGAGTATCAGGTGCATCCCTGCACGCTATCAATCAAAGATATGGACACACTGGTGCAGCTGTATCTTCTCAGGGTGTTGTTTATATTTATTTTCGAGGTTTTATACCGTGCATTGCATTTATGATGATGTGATTTTATACTGTGCTTTGTATTTAATGTCTTCCGTTTTGTCTTATCTGGACCCTGAGTTGTGATATGATCATAAATTGAGTTTAAAAAGCTTTAACATTTCCCTGAGTCAGCCGTAACAAACTGAATATCTGGTAAGACAACGCGTTCAATTAAGGCCGCACAGTTTGGAACAGTGGCGCCATCTTGTGTTGAATCAAGCCACACAGCTCATATTTATGATACAGAGTGTATTATATATATATATATATATTATAATGGGTACGGCCTAAAATTTATTTTTGCAACATATTTCCCTTTTCATTTTGGCCCTTGTTGACTGCTTCGTTGCTATTCACATTTAGGTGTACTTAGAAAAATAGCATTTTGTTTATGGATGGATTGAGAGATCGACAGACAGATTGGTACAACATCCGCCATGTGTCAGACCATTGTGCTGAAGAGGGAGCAGAGCTGGAAGACAAAGCTTTCTTTTACCGGTCGATCTTTGTTCCAACCCTCCCCTGTGGGTCATGAGTTTCGGGTAGTGACCGAAAGAATGTAATCACAGATACTAGCAGCCGACAGAAGTCTCCTCTGCAGGGTGTCTGGGCTCAACCTTAAGCCGTTTTCACATATGCACTCCGGATAATATCTAGATATTTACAGGAGGACTTCTCTGGAGATTCTCCTGAACTAGCCGTTCACATATGCTCCTCACAGCGGGGGACTTTCCCTGTCAGAGGGGAGGGGGCTCAGGGGGGATTTCCCGACGTAAATAATGCAGCCGTTTAATTACGTGCACAGAGATCGTAGTGGTCCCAGGCAGACACTTTAGCCAGTCACTGTATATAAATGTCACTCGGAAAATCCCTGGATTATATGCTGCCGCGTTCAGACATCAGATAACTTGGATATTCTGCGGATAAAATACTAGGGGTCTGGCCGGATAAACTCCGGGTAAAGTCTACGCGAGAAATGCGGCTGTTTGCGTTCACACATAGCCTAAAGAACCTCCGGCTAGCCAAATCTCCGGAGTTTTTCATTAGATTTCCGTATGTGTGAAAAGGGTTTTAGAGATAGGGTGAGGAGCTCAGACATTCGGAGGGAGCTCAGAGTAGAGCCGCTACTCCTTCACATTGAAAGGAGCCAGTTGAGGTGGTTCAGGCATCTGATTAGGATCCTCCTGAACAACGAACAAGTCAAAGTTTAGGCCAGAGAGAGAGAGAATCCACCCTGGGGTGGGGCTTTTATACCCTGCCAGACACAGGCCCAGGTGCCCTCGATTGGACCATCCAACTCCTCTACCAGAACTAGGGGGGACAGAATCAATTAATAAGATCTTGACTAAGGCAGTGACCGTCACACCCCCCCCTTAAAGTCGGTCTCCCAAGGGGACCACCAGCACAACATCACCATAACCAACCACCGTGCAAAACACCTACCCAATAATACAAACGACTCTACTCAAAATACTTTCAATCACAAAAAAACCCCAAAAATTTATAATTAGATTAATACATGACCTTATTCCTGGATTCACGGCCTGCACCTCCCCCCCCCTCCCCCACCCATTCTCAGCAACCCCCTGTACCTAAGGAGCAAATTAAGAGGTAGACACGGCATGACAGC